CGACTAGACGTCGACTAGCATATTGTTCAGATAATTATGCTGATTATTTACATATAACTAGTCAATGTGTACCAAGTAGATCTATTGGAAATATATCACATGTACCGACATATGATATTTGCGATACAAATAGTTCAATTGAAAATATGAATGGCATTATTTCAAGTCCAAATTTTCCAAGTTATCAACAAACAGCTAATGAATGCAAAAGAAGGCTCAACGGTGTTCTAGATCGAATCCTTAAAATTTGGATTAATGAAATGGCTATATCAAATGGTGGTCAACGTCATTCAGATGTTATAGATGGTAATTAAAAATTTACTTATTATTTAGTTTTTTTTTGTTTAAACATAAATATTCTTATTATTTAGAAGATTCAGGTGAACCAGATTTAGTTATTTATAAAAATTATGATACAAAGCATTTAGATGAGTTAGAAGAAATGCATCCGTCTATTCGTGATACTTGTATAAATGATTATTTAATAATAAATGCTCCACATGTCGCTTATGTCTATTGTGGTACACGAAAATTAGCTATTCTTCCAATTTGTACTACTGCTATTGATATTCAGTACAAAACATCATCACCACCAAATCTTTTCTATAAAGGTTTTAAACTTTACTTTGAATGGATTCCAAAACCAATAGATTTGGTATGTCCTGGTACATCTCCTGCAACAACAATGACATCTGTTAATACGACATTGCCGATTTGGGCACAAAATTTACAAATTTCACCTATATTTTCTGCACATGTTTGCCTCGGCTCGTCAATAACTTTACAATGTCCTCGTGATTCTGATTATGTTCTCTCCATCGTTCAATCAATGTATGGTGTAACAGCTACAGGTTTATGTGGAAATCCATCACCAGCGGACTGTCTTCAAGAAGCTTCACTTGGACTAACGTGTGCACAATCCTGTTATATTGGATATTATATTCCGAAACCGTTGGTTCAATGCCAATCAAAAAATGCTGATTATATTCTTATAGATTATCAATGCATACCAATGCGTTTACCCAATAATGACAATACTATCGATATATGCAATTCAACAATAGCAAATACAATCGCATTAGATACCGTTATGATGATGATCAGTCCACAATATCCTACATTGGACGGTGTGCATAATTGTTCAAAAACGATCGAAGCATCACCAAATAAACGATGGATGATTTCTATCGTTGATCTATTTTTGGAAGAACAAAGTCATATTGGTGATTGTGATGTGTCATCATTAACAATTGTTGATGAAAAAGATCAGGTGGTGATGTGTGGTTTAAGACAACCTGAATTAGTTATGGTCACTTATGGAAATATAGTTGAATTTAAATTTATTTCAACTCACCAAGCCCTTGGTTATCGTGGTTTCAAGGTTTATGCTGAAACTATTATGAACTTATCTAATGTGACAATATCAACAATGACCACAACAACAGCAGCAACGACACGAAGAACATCGCCTCCCATTACTACTTTCCTATCAGTTAGTTTGCAAAGTAAGTTATATTCAGAAGAAATTCTTTTAATTTCTAGTTATATGAATTTATTTATTCCTAGTTCCTGTTTATGGTGGAACAACAACAAACAATGGTACCCGTCAATACTGTAAATTTCCATTTATATATCAAGGCAATCCACAATCCAATTGCTTAACAGTAGACCCACCAATTCCAGCACCGGGAGAAGGTCTTCAAGAGCCTTGGTGTTCATTAACAAGTAATTTCGATACTGATGGTGAATGGGGTTTTTGTGACTTACGTGTTACCGATGCAACAGTGTATGATATATGCCGTAGCCAATCCCAACTACTTAGCTGTCCATCAGGTTACGTTATCGATATAATAACATCTGATTATGCAACTAAACCCGATGGAAATATTGGTGCAGGTGCATGTGCTTATGATAAGAATGATTGTTTTCAAAGTGATTCATCGACTATTCAAAATACATGTGCAGGTCGACTATCATGTATGGTATATCATTTTGCTAAAACTTTAGCAACATGTGAAAATCGACCATCTGCTTATTTACACATTGGTTATACCTGCGTACCGAATAATATAACTAGTATAACTACATACAACCTATGTGATAATAGTTCATTGCCACAAATGAATACCAGTCGTGGATTTATAACTTCACCTAATTTTCCAACTACACCAAGCAATATTGATTGTACATTCAATTTACAAACATTAAAACCATATGAAGATATTTATCTTTATATACTCGATATGGATTTGAATAGTCCGAATCTTATTGGACAGAGTTGCACGAAAGATCGATTTATTGTTTCGTCTGATAATAATGTTATGGAGATGTGTGGTAGATCATATACAAATTTTTTACTTAGCACATGTCATTCATCTGTATTGTTACAATTGATTCGAGCATCGGATGCTAGAGGACGTGGTGTGAAACTTTATTTTGAATTTCGAGGAAGATCACCACAAGACATATGCCCAGAAATAATTGCAACCAGTTCAACTTTGCAACCTACTCCACCAACAGGCCTAACAACTATGCCGGAACCAAGTCAATCTATTGGCCCATCTCCACATTATTTTACAACTTTATGTTTTCCAGATATTTCATCTTTATTTGGTAGAAATAATTTTCAATGTCAAACAAATTATATCCTTGTTATTCTTCGAGCAGTTTATGGTAGAGGTAGTCGCTGTGATTACAGTCCTGGCGATTGTACAAGTGAAGCTGACAATGTTTATCGACTATGTTCAGGAAAACAAAAATGTTCTGTTCCATTTTTAAATCCAGTTACTTTACCTGAATGCAATGGAGTTACTGCTAGCTATCTTTTCGTTGAATATCAATGTTTACCAACGCCAACGATCGTTTCAAATACTGCAGATTTATGTACAGGTCAAATAAGTGATTTCAATGGAACGAGTGGTATATTGCAGAGTACATCGTATCCATCGTATACACAAACGCAATGTGCTAATGCAACATTAAGTTCATTAGATGGTTCTAATCTTGTTATGCACATGTATTTAATTGATCTCAGTATCAGTGCATCTGATCCTCATACTGGTGAATGTTTGAATGATTACTTAGAATTATCTTATCAATGTAATCATATCGCATATACTAGACGTTTATGCGGTACACGTTCAACAGAACTGTTATTTCGAACATGTTTACCAACAGATAAAATATTCGCTTCATATAATTTATTAGGTAATGATTCTCAATCTCAACGTGGTTTTGCGTTACTTTATCATCTTGTACCAAGAGATAGCGTGCCTACAATAAAAACAACAACAGCTAGTACTACAACTACGTTGACATCCTCTGGTATTGGTGCTGTTAGTACCCCTATTCAACTATCGACGATATGTGTTCAGAAATCTTTATCTTTACGATGTGATCAACCTGGATATGTTCTTGTTTTACATAAAATACAGCTTGGCGTAAGTACAACAGCCAGCTGTAATTATTCTTTGGATGATTGCTTTGAGGATTATACTAGTTTCTACAATAATTGCACTGGCACAGCAATGTGCGATATATTTTCTCCTTTAACACAAATAGCATCATGTAATAATTCTCAATCAAATTATTTATATGCTGAACATCAATGTATTCCAGCAAGTACAAAACTTGATCTTGATATATGTTCATCGGCAGGCTCAATTCAAATAGTTACAGATAGCACAATCATTTCATCATTGAATTATACATCAAAAGAGAAAGAATGCAAAGTAGAATTGCGAACAAATTCATTATTACCGAGTCAAACTCAGAGAGGATTTAAGGTCTATATTCTTACATTAAACTTGCCAATTGAGCATTCCCAAGATTCGCAATGTGATCCCGATGATCCATCTATTGAAATTGATGATCCTGAATCCGGTTTGACACGTTTATGTGGTGATAGTTATACCCGGTTTTTATTTGAAACATGCTCAAATACAATTGAAATTCGATATAAAAATACTCTTGTGAATACTACTGCAGTAGAATACAAAGGTTTCGAAATTTATGTTGAATCTATTGAAAATGATGAATGTCGCTTAATAAATACGATTGATACAACATATGCATCGGTGGGACTTACATCGACGACGACTGTCATCCGAGATTTCAACACTACAAGTAAGAATTGGAAATGTCTTGTTGCTTCTGCTGGTATTTTAATATGATTTTTTTTCTAGTTTCTACACCAAATTTACCTCTAATAATAGGTCTTTCGGTCGGCCTTAGTGTTCCTATTGTATTAGGAGCCATTCTTGGTCTCATCTATTATATAAAAGTTGTCATGCCCAAGAAAAAAGTATTCATCAGTAACGCTGCTCGTAATGAAATACCAATGACAGCAAAATAACAACGAAGCAAATGCAGTTCTGTCAACTGACACATCGACATAAAGAAAATTTATTCTGTTATAAATAATATAGTATCCATAATGTGTTTAAAATAAAAATAAAATGTGTTAAAAAAATCAGATCGATCACGAAAATATTGAGGGCATGGGTCTCATCTTAGTCTGCAGCCACATGCACACTCACACCCTCCTAAAAAAAATATGATTACATATCCATTTGTTTTTGTTATGAAACAGCTTTCAAAAGAAAATATATCTAGTCAGTAGTACTCCACCGCCGCATAGGTTGTTCAGCATCGTCAGGATCAACTTCCTCTCCTTCATTTTGCCTGTAATCAATAATAAAATCATCGGCTGCCTGTGTATCATTTCCTGTTATTCGTTCTTCGAGTTGCGACTGGTACATCATGGCAGCTTCTTGATCATCCTTGTGTACAAAATAAATTGCAATTATTTTCTTAAGTAAGGCAACAATTTTCTCCGAGTTTTTTTCTGAACTATCTTTTCGATAGAGTTCCAATAATTTTTTCGAAAGACATAATTCTTCATCGTACATGTCAAATTGATCGTAATAACCAGTTAATTGTTCGACGGCTATACTAATACGTTTGTTATTGATGTCATAACATTTTAGCATACTTTCAAGTTGTAATTCTAAATATTTTATAATCATGGATTGAATTTCTTTCATCTCGTCGTCATCGGTATGGGTATCTGTCTCTATCGCAGATATAAGTAACTTTTTCCCATACATTTCATGTAGATATTCATAGATATTGATCTGTTCAGAACTTGTTAGGCCTTTCTTGATTGCAATTTGATAGTGTTTGATTGACAGATCAAAGTTTTCTCTAGCCTTGCCCGTGTGTTTTATATGAAAATAATAGATAGTACCAATATCATAGTAAATTCGGCCAATAGCAATGTCAGCATTTAATTCTTCATCATCTTGATATTCAAGCCAATATTTTAATGCTTCATCCCAGTTTGGTAACGCGAGAGTATAATTGAAATCCCGATCGATATTATACTGTGCTAAACAAGACATTTTTACTGCTAAAATCCACTTTTCTCGTGGAAATAATTGCATTAATTGATTGAATACAGTCTCTATAAGAGCAGCTGTCGCACTGCAAAACTCTGTTAGTGTTTCCATTAATAAATCAATGTAATATCTCATTTTTCTCCTCTCGCCAAATCCTTCAAGCATTCGATCCTCTACTTTTTCGATCGTGTCTGAGACGAGTTCTAACTTAGCAAGCCAAATTTTTCTCTCGAGATCATAATAAATACTATTTTCCGTCATTTTGAATTCTAGACCCGGCATCAATAGAGTTTCGGATTCACTTGGGAACCAGCTTATTGTCGAGATATCGGCGTAGGGAAACGATTTTTCAGCTAGATTCAATTCAATTTCGAACAGAATACTTTGTAATTCATCGTCTGGCATTGATGTACCAAGATAGATTTCTGACATAGCTGGATCAAAAGTCGTAGACATAAAACTACTAGTCACCATGTTACCAGTCGAGCCTTTTAACTTTTCAATTTCCGTCTTTGCCATTATTTGTCCACGATATACGGTAACTTTCGAATTTTTCAATTGTTTTCGAAGAAAGTTTTCGTGTTCGCGTTTTAGTTGTTGAAACAAATCTCGAAGAAAGAAGGCAAATAGAAACATGAATTGAATATTTTTTTGTCGCAGAACACGATTTACCATACGATAGAGAAATGTATCTTTTGTATACTCTTGAATTGGATTCCTATTTGTTGTAGATAAATAATTTAGCTCCAATTGATCTATGTGTCGTAGTTCTGATGGATTTGTCGAGTAATATTTTCTCATTATTGCGAGAAATCGTTGGAAGCAATCTTGTGGATATGGTAAATGAACAATAATATAAACGAGTTTTGGCCACCAAGATTCAATATTATCTGTAGTATTTTCTTGCTCGGTAGTATTACGAGTCAGATCAAAAATATTTTGGTTTTCATGATCTTTCGAGTAATGGTCAACGTTTTGTAATAGTGATTTTAACAGTGGCTGAAGAGCAACGTGGATTTTTATCTAGTGGAATTGAAACAATAATGTCAAAATTATCTTTATTTACACTAGAGATGGTTTGAATCTTTGAAAGAAACTGAAAATTTTGATGTTTTCGTTAACTCTATCCCATTATATATTTAATTATGTTGAAAAAGCGGAGTAATCAGGATTTTTAGACCAGTGGTCAAACTGCACTTGTGTCGAAAAAAAGTCAATGGGGAAAGTTTTTATTGATAGTCCAGAACGTTTTTAGGGTGTGCAAGTGTAGGTTCATCGTAGTTTAACATTCGCACCCTACAAATTACAATGAACAAATCTCCAGATGAAACGGGCAACTGTCAATTTGCCACTCCCTTAGCTGCGCAACTGTGTTGGAATGATTTTATTCGTCCTATAAAAACTAACCTTTGGATCGTTTGTCATCCATTCTTCTTCTGAATAAGCATTAATTAAACAGTGGATGGAAGAAATTGCATTGAGATGGTGTACCGCCAATACAAGTTTCTTCGCTAAAGGACCCGATGAAACTAAGAAAAGTGCACTTTTGTCCGATGCAGTTGCAACTATCTCAATGTAATCTCGGCAATTTTCAATATTATCAAAAAATTTGACATAGTCACTGATTTTACGCAATCTATTGAGTTTTATTGGATTGTCAACATCAGAGTTAAACCAAATTATTTCATAGTGATCGAGACGGCACAGCTCTAAATCAAATGCTGCATCGTTTTTTGGCAATGTCGAAGGCAATGATGTTGGTTCTATTGATTCACATGTTTCCGAAACTAGTATGTTTGTTATCACATCATTTTTAATCTTTTTGGGAATTGGAGTAACTGTATCTACGAACAATGGATTAGATAATTGTTATTATTAATCTTTTCCAATGATTTCAGATCCTTACCTTCCGTTAAAGTTTCATTTGATCTTTTTTCAGCCATGACATTCAGTGAAAAATGTGTCTTTTCTGAATAACAACGTGGCCCATTGCATTTTATGACAACTTTTTATTAGCAGTTGGAAAAAAGTATAGAACAAAAAGAAAAAATGTGTTTTTCTTTCTTCCGGGCCACGATTTATGGTTACCATGCCAACCAGCACACATGCAAGTGTAAGAATGAGACACAGCTACCACGGCAAAACAAAATAATTTGTTTCGAATTCACTGTTCTGGCAAATTCTAAACACTTACAAGTCGAAATCAAATGGTTAGATAGTTATCCAATTCATTCGAGATAGAGTGAGTGTTTGCAGTGTAAGCAGAAACTACACAGAATTGTCTACTGATGCCTGTTAATCATGTTCGATTAGATTCATCGTCGAAACAAAGATTTATTTGAATTACATGGAGAAGAAAACTTGATCCGAGAATCTTGTTGCTTCAGCCGTTTTTCTAGATTCAATGAAATTACGTTCGCACCTATTTCCAACTCAAGAAGTGTCTATAAAAAATAACAACGGAGATCTCAGTCAATGATACAAAAATGAGATGAGCCGATTGCTTACCCTGTTATATCGGCGAGCTTCAAAGCGAGAACGTATTCTGTTCTTGTTGAGTTCGCTGTCTCACGGGTCGAACTTGTTCAGAGTCTGTATGAAAAAGAAAATTTTTCAGAAACACAACGGTATTTGTATTTTTTTTACACGGGAGCTATCGCCATCCAATCAATTTTTTCAAAGTTGTGCCTCATTTTGGGTTCACTTGTACATTAAAAAAGTCAGAAGACATTGACATCATGCTTTTGTTCTTTCACATTACAGAATATTTGCAAGTCTTTCTCCTCATTATAATTCAACACAGAAAATTTTCACTCTATTGTTCAATAATCGAATTTCAATTTTATCATTATTTAAAAAGAAAATTGTTTTGTTTTATTTCAAGTTTGACTTGATGAAAAAATATAAAGAAAATGTATTTACATTTAAGTCTTTTTCAAAAATAATCGTTGCATGAGCACTGTCCATTTTTGTGAAAATGATGAACTCGATTTGCATCTCGAATAATAATTTCACATTGACGAATAGCAGCTATTGATTTTGTGGCTTCATCTATATTAGATAGAAAATTAAAATAAATAATAAAATAAAATAATAACTTACGACAATCACCACAAATGCGAAGATTTTTCTTGATTTCAATTAGTGACACATTAGGATTTGCAACAAAATTTAGTGCAATTGCTAATCGCTCACTGTGGCCGCAAAGTACAGATTCAACGGTTTCATCCTGACTAAGTGGTCGGGTAATCCAACTGGAATCGAATTTATGACCATGTGCTATAAGCTCATTTGAGATTTTCTCGGCTTCAGCATGTATTTGAACCGATAAATTATGCGATTGATCATGAGCACGAAGTCGCTAAGAATTTCAATATTAAATCATTTTCTTTGCCTTTACTGTTCTTCAGTTAAACTTGAGAAGTTATTTGTTTTTATACGGTTAGATAGAGCGTTCATTTGTCTATCGAATGACGTATTTTTATCTGATTTATCCCTAATATTGACTGAGAATTTAGTCATTAAGTTTTAAAAGTCGTGAAAAACAATTTTCGCGTTTAACAATTTTGAGATAATTTCTGAGTTAATTTCTCCTGTAACTACGATCTACTTGAGTAGTGAAACTTTTTTTTTCATTTGGACTTATTCTTCATCTTGATAATAAACGTGATTATTTTCTGAGACATTGTGCCGAGAACTTTTTTCATAGCATCCTCTGTTTTCTCTCGATGAAATTTTAGTTATCTAAGCATCTAAATCTGTTACTAGCTAATATGTGATTCGATGGAGCGTTGATATCTCTATTGAATCACATAATTTCAGTCACGTTTAGCTGAAGTCTTTTACATAAATTCTGCATTGCATGAATAGTCCTAAAACCGGCTTTTCATTGGTGTAACAAAAAGTGCTAGGTGACTCAAAATTAAAATTAGCCGTTCTCCTTGAATATAAGACCGTTTTATTTAATACTTTGTCCAAACATGAGTCCCGTGGATCTGTTCAATCGGAGACCACTTATGCGACAATCCGATTATTTTTCAATGAGATAAGCAAAAAAATCATCATGAGAAAACGTTTTGCGACGTCTTTTAAAATTTCACTAAATTCTTAGTCAAGATTAGGGATAAATCAGATAAAAATACGCCATTCGATAGAAAAATGAACGCTCTATTTAACCGTATAAAAACAAATAAATTCTCAAGTTTAACTGAAGAACAGTAAAGGCAAAGAAAATGAGCAAAAACAGGTGAATCATATTGTATATAGAAGGCTATTTAAATTATAGACTTACAATTACTTGACCATTGATTAATGTCCATGAAATACCGGCTTGTTTCTTTCTACTTAATTTAGCTAATTCTTGTCTTAATTTTGATGCCATATCGATTTCGCCCGAGGATGCATAACTATTGGCGAGAAGAATTGTAGCGGCTGTTATCGGGTCGGTTAAATCAGGAAAAAGTTTCTTCATACGATTAAAAACGTTTTGGCATATCTGATTATTTTTTGCGTTTCGAGCACCAGCTAACAATGCCACTAAAATGAAAATAACGATCAAGTTATAATTCAACTTAATAGAATATTTTCTCTGATTTCAGTAATTCAAATAATACATTGCACAGATAAAATTAACATTTATTATAATTATGATATTATTCTTTGGTTTCATTCGTCCAAATAATATATTAGGAATTATTTTATCTCAAATTTATGTTTTTCAATTAATTTTATTAACAAAATTTCGCTTTTTTGCATGAAATAATTTATCATTTAATTAACTGGTCAAGATTTTGTTTTTTGTACTTATAGAACTTTTAATCATTAATAGAATAGTATTCTGTATGAAGAACAAAAAGAATAGTTATGAAATATTGTCAATCATATGTGTATTTTCAAATCTTAACAATATTCAAATAAATATTTTCTTCGTAATCAAAAACTTTATGATGTAGAAGGCGAATTCAAATTCTTCTACGATAAAATTTACCTTAAATTTTATGATACATTTGTCATCCTGTTCCAATGAACGTTTTAAATTAAGAAGAAATTGATTTTTGGTTAGAATGCTACTCAAATACGGAATCTATAAGGAACTAAACAAAAGAGAGCTTAGCTGTTTTTTTTAAATTTAAAATGTTTCTCCAAAAAGCTTATGAATTTGTTCACACCTGAGATATTACTTGCCGATATCTCGTACAACGTTGAAAATTTGAACTGATTAAAATAGGAAAAAAAACATTCCAATAAAATAGCCTGATAATATACCCAAAATTTCAACTTAGACTAATATGTTTTTGATTGTCTCATAGGTAAATGAAAAGATCTTCGATATCGACTTTACTACAGCTAATTAAATCTATTCTTAAATAAGTTAGAGTTTTCGGTCCTAAAGCGAATCAGATAAAGCATTGAATAGAAACCAGAGATCATAATTTAGCAGGGCTGCACTCAATCATGTCAAGTAAAAAAATTTTGTTTTAACCGCGAAGCAAATCAAAGAAAAAATAAACTTGGTCTTGTGCCTATAGAAAAGAATTTCAAAAAACAATTCCTGGTAATATTAAGATTTTTTTGGTTGAAAATTTATTAACGTGATACTATTTTAATCAAGTAATATTAATTTTAATTGGTTAATTTTTCTTAATAGATTAACAATCATTTTAATTGTTATTAAACTCAAGCATATTGTTTTGATCAAGATTTTAATAAGTTCTCATATGAAAATGGTTTGTTACTTCAAAAACGCAACAGGTTTATACCTATGACAAAATAACTTAAACTAAGGAAATTCAATGAAAATTTCACAGTGAATCTAAAGATCAGACTTTACTCGACAGATTTGGAGAAACGTCAACTTAAGTGTAACATTCATGACGAATAAAAACTCATTCTAATTACTTTAAGAGAAACATCTATAAGAAAATTCCGGACACAAGGGGCGGTAATTATTTTCTCAAAACTTTCCTATTTTCTAAATGTGACTTGTGAGTAATTTATGAATGGTTCTAAAATAAATATATTTAACTCTCAATTAGTATCGTTCGTTGAGACATACTATGTGCGAAAAGTTGATCTTGCGTTGTACTGGCGATTTTTCCAGGTTACAAGCGTTAACACTTTTAACTGCGATCTGTAGATAAACATTTTTCATCTGTTTAGTGACTAAAAACTGGTCAACATTAAATTTTTAAACCGATAAATTAAAATTAAAATTAAAATTGAATTTCTTTCCGAAGGATGTTATTCCCTATTCATGATGCTCTGAATATAGAATCAAGTTTAAATGTGGCATTCTTTCCAAATAAAATGAATGCCTCATATGAAAACATAATGTGACAATAGATACATACATTTTATTTAGTTGAAAGTTCCTGTGATCAGAGCAGAGCAAGATATAACAACTCGTTTGATAGTCACTGATATGAATCAATCAATCATCGACTAAAAAGAGTAAACTCAACTTTGGTCGACAGTAAAAATGTCGAAAGAAATTTATAAAAATAAAATTAAAAAATCTAAAAGAAGGAGTGTTTTGAAAGATATTCGATGAATATGTTATTATTGTAGTTGTAGGATCGATGGCGACTTATGTTCGTTTAAATCTATCATTGGTTTATCAAATATTGGTCACTTAGTACAATGTAATAGAAAAGAATAAGAAAATTATTCTTCAATTATTTATTATTCAAGTGATAAATATACATATGGAAGCCGCCACGGAATCGACACGCAACATCAACAGTGATTTAAATTTCATTACTTCGAATAAGGGACAACCTCTCTTAATAATGAATCAATTCTGAACACGACGTTTTACTGTCGACCAAAGTTCAGAGATTCCTAGAACGATCAGCGGGCGATAATTTTGAAATTTAGTAGCAGCCAATCACTCGAAGTTAAATCGAAAATTATCTACTAGACTGAACCTTTACAATAAACGCTTACTATACATGGGCCATGACGGTGCATTGTGACATTCAAATTCATCGATTAATTTTTGTGCTTCGTCAAGAAAAGACCCACGACTGAGACAATCGATCTAAAATAATTAAAATTTTTCATATTTGCCAAAAACAAATGTGTTTTGATTTACCATGCTTGTATAGATTTTGTCTGTTTTTAATTGAACACTTTTAAAGATTGCACGAGCTTGATCAATCAGTCCCGAATGTGAACATGCATTTAAGAGAGAGACATGAATTGCATCATGAATAAATTCTGTTGGCATCCTCGAATAAAGTTCAATAGCTTGAATGCCCATTCCATTCAAACCGTAAGTATTAACTAGAAATGAGTAAATCAAAAAAAACGTTTTCTTGTTAAAAATATGAAACAAACTCATAGCGCCGTATCCTATTTGATCAGGTTCAATCATGTTTTCAAATATTTCTTTAGCTTTATGAGCAAATCCAAGTTTTCCCTAAATTAATTTTTTTAAAGGCAAACACATAACAAATGAATCTATTCCAAACTTACCCACATATGGATTAAAGAATTTTGAATTTGACGATCGGCAAAAATTAATTTTGGAATCCGTTCAACAATCGATTGAGATAATGAATAATCAGCTACTTGTGATAGTGCCTTGATTACAATCAGATAAAGAATATGATTTGGCTCAATACCATCGATTATCATTTGATTAAATAAATCTAATGTTTTCTCAGGATTATTTTCTTTAAGAAAACCATTCATTAGATTGCCATAGACAATGACATTTTTTTTCATTTTAGAAAAAACAATTTCTGCACTTGCACAATCACCACATTTAATTAATGCATCCAAAAGCGACGTTAAAAGAATCTGATCTGATTGAAAAGATGTTGGCATTTCTTTCGCAATTTTCTTTGCTAGATTTAATGCTTCATTGGTTTCCAGTTGAGCACATGCATTGAACAGTAGTGTTGTTGTAATCTCATCAGGAAGTCGAATTTCATTGAAAAGATCTATCGCTTTTTTCGCCACATTGTTTTTTATATAACCTGTGAACAAATTAACAAAAAAAGGCTTTTTTGCGAGTGAAAGGTGAAGCTCACATAATTTACATAAGTTGAAATAGGCAAAGACTAGAAAACTATACGGTAGCTATGGTCTGTAATGGAAAAAGAAGAGGTAAGAGTACAAATCCTTCGGCTTACAACTTAAACTCTCCATTTTATTTCGAAAATCTGTTCGTTTCACAGAGAAATAATTCTAAATCTGATTATTGCTACCTTTCATCATCGCTCCATACGTCGCCAATGTTTTTTTCTTTGCATTATAGAATAATGTTTCAGCACTGATCACATCGCCACATTTGATTAATGCGTCCAAAAGAGAAGTTAACAGGATATGATCGAATTGAAAAGATTTTGGCATTTCTTTCGCAATTTTCTTTGTTACATCTAATGCTTCATTAGTTTCCAGTTGAGCACATGCATTAAACAAGAAAGTTGTAGTAAACTCATCAGGAACTTCGATTTCATTAAAAAGATCAATTGCTGTTTTCCCCATTTTGTTTTGAACATACCCTTTTAAACATTTTGCAGTAAAAAAAAGTTTTTAAAATATAACGACCGAATACCCTTCATCATCGCTCCATACATTGATAGAGTTTTTTTTCCTGACATTTCAAATATGGATTGTGCGCGGACAACATCGCCACATTGCACTTAATTTAAAAGAAAATAGAAGCAAAAGCTCATCATTCAAAAACTTACTGTAAAGATGAATTAACGAACTTAATATATAAGAATTCTTTTTCATATCAGACGACATGAACCTGTGAATAGTTGAGCCCCGTTGAAGATCACGAATTTGTGCACACGATTTTAAAGCTTGTAGAATTGTGAAGCTAGATAGTGTACCAATATTTTTATCTTTGTATTCATCAAATAATTCCAGTGCTTTTCGAAACTGTTTTTTGTCGTTTAATAGTTTCATTTGAGCATTTAGATTAGCATCACTTTGTATGCTCACGGCACGTTTTACTAAAACTATTCCAGATGCAAAACGATAATATAAGAATATTTTCAACATGATTAGGCTTATTTTTGAAGTTTTTCTACTACGAATAAACGAAAATACATCGAATTGTCTGTAAACCACATGATATGAGAGTTTGTGTCTTGACTAAACTGATTGGATAATAATGTTCAGCCAATAAAAATCAATTAAATCGAACAGTAGTAGGAGATGAGACAATGATTAGGCGAAACAGAAAACAATCAATCGTTTTTTTTAAATTTAAAAACAGACTAGGTGATAATTGAAATAAAACTGAATTAAAACATCGATCGGCCATGTGATTTACTGTTTATTTCTGTTCAGCAATATTGATCGTACACTGCTTCCGGGATTAATAAAATTTGATTTATAGTTATACTAAATTCCGATGTTTATATTGATGATCTTTATTTTGATCATATTCATTTCAGCGATCTTCTTTTTCGATGCTGTTCACTTCGACAATGATGTCTAAAATCGAAAATTCTCGTTGAAGAAACCGTGTGAAAAGGAAACTGAGCGTGTATGTAAAGCATACACTGTTTTTTTTAGTACCTAAACTCTATTTCGTCAGGGTACCGTACATTTTGTTTTTGGTATAAAAACAATTGTAGGTGCAAATTACACAAAAAGTCTCTTTTGATAATGCATGAGTAGAAACGGTTATCTTAGCGGTAGCACAATTTATATTGTTTTTAAATCGAATTTTCTTCTCACAGTAGTAACTACAGTTCTGTTAACTGATACATAGACATAGAGAAAATTCATCTTGTTATAATTAATATGATATTCATAATGTGTTGAAAAAAATCAGATCGATCACAAAATCATTTGCAATCTCAAATGCGAAGATGAGAGCATACAATATCGCCAATAGCCAAGCTTCATACGTATATAATTATTTAGTTTTGTGGGATATAAACAGAAACTACACAGAATTGCATATCGATGCCTGTTAATCATATTTGACATAAAGATTTATTTCAATTACATAAAGAAGAAAACTTGATTCGACCATCCTGTTGCTTCAGTCGTTTTTCTTGATTCAATGAAATTACACCTGCACCCACTTCCAACTCCAGAAGTATCTATAAAACATAATGACGGAGATCTCAATCAGTGATGCAAGCACGAGACGAGTCGATTGCTTACCTTATTGTATCGGAGAGCGTCGAAGAGATAATGTACTCCATTCTCGGTGATTTCATTTCCCCACAGATCAAGTTTATTCAAAGTCTGTATGAAAATGAAGTGCCAATGGGGCAGTCAGAGAAAAGTAGATTACGTACCGTGTTATTTCGAAGAGCTTCAGCAAGATATTTGGCTCCTGTATCACCGATTTGATTCCATGCAAGACCAAGTTTAATTACTGTCTATAAGAAAAAGAAGAGCTATTTTTACATCACCAAAGTTGATGGAAGGGAATTATTACAATCTTGGTCTTAACGTACTCATATTGCTCAATTTATTTGGACTCGCTTACACTACAGATTTAGATCGGATTTAGAAGTACATCCTATGTAGAAAATCAATTGAATCGACATGAGAGTATGAATGAAGTTCATTCGGTCAGAGAAACAGGATAACAATTTTGTTCCTTGCGATTTTCTTGTCATTGATGAAATAGATGTTTTCTATTGCTATTTCAAGCTTTATCAAGTAGACCGATACGGTCTTTTTCGGAATACTAAGCGCAATCTTCAATCTCGTGCAGTATGTATTACACTACAATGTCTATGATTATAGACTACAGATCTTGAAAACATCTCAAGATAACGTGCACTCCTGCTCACCTGATTCTGTTGCAAGGCCTGAGCGAGAAAAGCAGCACCAACATCAGTAATCCGGTTGCCAGTCAAGTCTAATTCAATGCGGGCATTTTTCTGAAATGTTTCGCGTATCACTCGTTCCATATGTGCATCGGTTAACTGCTGAAATGTGTAGGATAATTTCACGGGAAGCGTCATATTTGCAATCATGGCTCCATATGTCCACCATGATTCTGCATCAGTATCCATGTCTAACAGTTCTTGAAAATGGAGGTCCATTTTTTTGTTTTTTTAGATAATCCAATATCAATAATAGCTGTAATTGAAAAATATTTATGTACTAACAAAGATATCTTCCTTATTCTTAGCGTAGCATGATTTTCAAATCAATACTTATTTATACGGATATCCTAACTCCAGAAGTTATAGTATTTGAATGAAGCTTTTAAAACTCAACAATATTTGAAGCTTTTTTTACTCAGGAACAATCGTCATTCAATCAACTTTTTTAAAGATGTGACTCACTTTACTTGCAATTATGTATTCATCATCTATGTGGTGGAAATGGCATTTCTGACAAAGTTGAAAACAATCATGAAGTACTTCGAATTGTTGCTACATGACTCTACTATATTTAGCATCGGAGGCGTGATTTGTTTCTTACAGTTTAATAGCACAAGAAAGCCAATAAAATGTTGCCGATTTTTGCCATTGATGTTTTTGTTTTGCAACATACGACGAACGCATTGGTATTTTTCTTTAGAGACGTCTAGAAGCTATTTACCTAGTGCATTGATTTGCTCTATCAAAGAACAGAACGAAAAACAATTGCAAACTTACGGTAGCACGCTGTGGTGTGTCGCATTGAAGATCATCAGCTAGAAATTTTTGCGCCATCACGATGTTGACACAAATGACAACATTTTTTTCTATAAAAAGTGTTGAAGATACAAAATAAATCGATCGTTATTTATTTATTTATTTTTAGTAAGATAACTACCTGGAAAAGCTTAGCTATTGACATGAACATTTTATTTGTTCTCTATCTCATCGTTACTCGTACAACCACATCATTAGTCATAGATTTTTATGTATAATTTTACACATAATGTGACTAAATATGAACAAAATATCCATATTGTTACTTTTGTGAAATATCAGTCGAAAAGGTTCGATGATAAGCACGAATCTACCATGCAATAGTAGTCGCAGTTTGGTGTCAGATTTAACAACACTTGAAAAAGGGGGCTAAAACTCAGAAGATCAAAAACAAACAGAATTAATCTCATCAATTCATATTTATTCTAGTTTAATTTTTGACATTATCAATGATGCTTTGTGCACTTAGTAATCAAAAATATATTAAAATCCTTGTATTTTGACGTTTTTTCCTTGAACTTTCTATTTTTCGTTAGTTCCGGTTCGTCATAATTTCATATACGACATATGAATACGATCAAAAATTTTATTTTGTTGTTGCTTGGAGATTATCATATTAACTTCCAACCTAGGATAATGCAGTTCGTATATAAAGTGTGTGCATCCGATGTAAACAAGAAATATCTGATCTTCGTTAAATAAAAAGAGAAATCTTTGGTCTCATTCAATCAAAACAAAAACAACAATGACAGAAATCTTGAATAACACAAACGAAACTCCAGTAGTTATCAAGAAATATTTCGATAATACGTCCGGTTTATCAACTCACCCGAAGTCTCTAAATGAATTGATCGAATTACTTTATCAAGCATTCGCTGCCAATGAAGTCAATATTGATTATATTTCAACAATTATGAATAACTATAAAGGTACGATGGATGAATGGAAACCGTATATTAAATTTCAATCAGATCGTTATACGAGAAATTTAGTCGATGCTGGTAATGGAAAATTCAGTTTAATTATTTTATGTTGGGCTGAAAGTCAAGGTTCGTCAATACATAATCATATGGATTCTCATTGTTTTCTCAAATGTTTACAAGGAACATTGATTGAAACGAAATATGCTTGGCCAACAATTGGCGAAGAAAACCCGATGCATATTCTTCAACGTACTGAAGTACACGAAGGCGAAGTTGCTTATATTAATGATTCGATTGGTTTGCATCGTATTGAAAATCCAAGCCATACAGAAACAGCAGTTACATTACATCTTTATATACCACCCTATGATCATTGTAATATATTTGATGAACGCACAAGTCGTTCGAATGAAGCAAAAGTAACATTTTATTCAGTTGGTGGCCGATTAACAGCAATTGAATAAATTTTATTCTTTGCTCGACGCTGACCAACATGCTTCTGTTTAAAAAAAACTATTTAATCATTAAATAAAATCGGAAAATAATTCTTTGTCAATGTTTAAATGCATCGTGTCGAAACAGATTTTAACTCAAGTGTTAATAAAATCAATGAGAAAAGGACCATTAGTGATTCATCACGATATAAATATCATTGAAGATTAGAAAGTTCTAGAAATAGTGTAGAATCTATTGAACTAAGTTTGTATTGATGTCCTGCGCGGGCACAACTTTTTACACCCCGGACCGGACCCATTTGCAAGACCTTAATTTACATATGTTTTGAATAGTTTCTTTATCTTTTTTGTTTTTATTAAACGTCATGATCAATGAAGACAATTATATAATTACATTTGCATACTCTATTTTACAATTCTAACAAAAATTTTATCTTTAATCATAGATAATATTTTACTTACGAAAAAAAAAATAATCATTTCTATACAAAAAAAAATCACAAGACAGGCTCGTACGCAAGAGATTCTTTAATCAAAAAAAAAAGAAATAATCATCATTTCTAATTTGGTACGAAATCCGTATCGTTATCTGTTGATGACCGATGTTGACCCGTATTTGCTTTTCTTCCTTCGAGACGCGCTGAACGTCCACGTTGTCCTTTAGATTCAGACGCCTGTGCTACTATTGTCGAATTGCAAACATTAATTGGCGTAAATCGTTTTGAATTATTGTTACCAATATTATTTGACACTGTTGCAATGGCCGCATCAATTGATTTAGGCAATAAAACATTCGGCTGATCACTGTCAATAGAATTTCCTTTACGACGAAATCTACCATCTTTTTTAAGATCTTGATTATTCAATGCTAGATTTCCTATTGATCTTGTTTGTTTCGTTCCACCAAAATATGGATGAGCATCATAGACAGGCGGTGTTTGTAATTTTATTTCATAGTTTCGATCAGTTTCAAATAGTTTTTGTGTTGACGTTGAAGTTTTTATTGTTGATGTTACATCAACTTCGATATCTTCAATATCAGGTGCTGCTGGTAAATAAACAAGCTGATCATTAATGTCCTCATCGTCACTTGATACTAATGCTTCAATACGTTGTTGTGTAACAACATCGATTTCAATATCGTCACTATTGAATTTTTTTACATTGCCATTCGTATCTAAACGTTGTCGTTTACTCGGTGAATTTGCGCAATCAGACGCATCTAAACTACGATCTTCATCTTTAACATCGAATTCGGATTCGCGTTCATGATATTCAACATTTTCTTCGAGTTCACGAAAGTCCGGTGCAAAAGCCGACCAATTTTCAACTTGAGAATGTGACCATATAGATACAACACCGCTCGACATACTGGCTATAATTGGACGTACAGGATGCCAACATACATCAGCTAATGTTTCGCCTTTGGTACCATGTAAAATTTTAACTAAATTACCCGATACAGTTTCCCATATGTATAACGAATGTTGACGAGATGATGCACCACATATATATTCACCATCGCCGGACCAACAACATTTTCGCCATAATGACTTATTAACTAAATCTTGAAGTTTTTGTTTCGGTTCAAGATCGCGAGCAATGCCGCATGATAACATTTCTGAATAACTATAAATTCGAATTATTCGATCACTGGTATTAATTAAACAATATTGGCCTAGAAAGAAAAATTTGATTCGATGGAATCATTTTATGCAAACATCTCACATATCGTTTGCAATCGTTCTAATCTTACCTCGACGCGGTATTTCAATGTGTCTTAAAACTGTATTTGCATTTGTGCCAGTTGTAATTCGAAATGACGAAACAGTTTTTAAATCCGGAAATGTTTTAACAACAATTAAACCACGATTATTGCCCAATATAATATGTTCACCTTTCCTATCGAATGTTGATATAATATCATTTGGTTCATCATCAATAGTAACTATTGTGTGTTTACCATTATGATCAATTAATACTGGTGGATGTTTCATTGGACATATAAGTAAATACAATGAGTTACGTGGATGAAATTGAACTTTAAGTATTGGTGATTGTATACATGATATACGAGTATGACAACGACCTGTTGACGTATGCCAAATACATACGGTACTATCCGTTGATGATGTTGCTATTAAATCAGATTTTTTCGACCATGATATAGAATAAATCGGTGACCAATCGGCACAAATTATTTTTGCGATACCACGTGTGAGAAAATCCCAAATAACAAGACGACCATCCGAGCAACCGACAGCTAACATTGAACCTTTGTTTTTAGAAGAAAAATGAAACTTTTTCCTTTTGATTAAAATTTGAAAAAAAAATATTACCAATTTTATTAAATGCACAGCACACAGCCATCGATGCACAATCAAGTGTGCCATCAAATTCTTCAGGATAGTTTTGTTGAAATGTTGATAATAATTCAATATTCATTTTGACATCTGAAAAGATAATTTCTCATGGTAAACCGATAGAAAATAAAAGCATCGGATTTTTTTTCCTAATGTGCGTTTATCTACTTAACGAATATTTGATAATATCTACATAAATCATTCACTAATAAACTTCACGTCGAAGTTAATTATATCTAAATCAAAAACAAGAACAAAACAGTTTGTAAAATATTCCAATAGTGAATTTATTTTAAATTGATAATCGACTTATGCAGATTAAATAAATAAATATATACTATGGGAATTTTTCTATCCTATTTTACATGATTATTAATTAAAATAATAATCTGAAATGTATATTCATTTTGCGTTGTAAATCTCGATAAACACTTTATCGTTACTATCTTTTGATAGTTTATTATTAACTTACCCGAAATTAAATTAATTAATTTTTCCGATAGAGACTTGTAAACAAAACAAATACGAGATAGACAATCGTAGAAGATAAAGAACGTTTTTCAAGATAGCCGAAACTTCTTTTCAATTTCGAAATGAAGACGACCGACAAGTAGAGACAGAGACAAATAATTCAAGCGTCACATTTGATTTGTTTATCATAGAAACGAATGGGAGTTTTATTTACCAATACATACAGATGGCGTTTATGAAGCAGAAAAATGTTTTATGCTCAAAATCGTTGGTTATATAACGCGTATATCTTATTTTTAGTCTGTAGGATAGTCATGTTCTGATGTCATCAAATAAAAACACCTTTGCATGATGACAACGCAGTTGTTTTTGTTTCGATATATATATATATAGCATGTTTAAGTTTCTTTCGAATATCTTTCGTAAAGACTTATCTTCATCAGTAGCCGAACAAAGTAGTTCTATATCGATGAAAATAAAATAATTCACTTGAATTCATTGATTGTAGATTGTAAAACGCCTTCAAAAGATAACATGAATTTAAATCATCTCTCTTCCATGTCACGAAAAGTCACTCAACATCACGGTACAGAACCGCCATTTTCTAGTTCATTAAATAGTAACAAAAAACCTGGTCTTTACAACTGTATTGTTTGCAATACACCAGCATTCAGGTTTGTCACTGTAGAAATATTATTCGGTTTTACTTATTTCTCTACGAAATTTAGTTCCGAACATAAATTCGATAGTGGAACTGGTTGGCCTAGCTTTTATACTCCGTATGATGCAGCTACTGTTGCTTCAAAGCAAGATTTTTCTTTAATGTATCCTCGAACTGAAGTTCATTGTGCAAAGGTATGAATAGAAAATGGATAAACAATAACGATTTCTATTTTCTTCTTCTAGTGCAATGCACATTTTGGTCATGTTTTTAATGATGGTCCTAAGCCTACCGGTCTTCGATATTGTATAAATGGTGCAGCATTAAATTTTATTCCCCAATAATTAAATTTATTTATTTATTTATTTTTATTTTATTTAAATAAATGAATCGCTCTTTTTTTTCTCGTTGTTTTAATAGATTTGCATTGGGTCATTGGGAAGAGCATTTGCTGTAAAATGATTTATAGGTATTGAAAAAGAGTCGTAAACAATTTGAGAAGGCATTACTTGATAATTCAGTTGAGGCATATGATCAATTAATAGTTCAATATTATTGAGATCTTGTATTTGATAACTTGGATTACAGAGCTTTTGACTTCGAGGTTGATTATTAGTAATTTCACGTATATATCTCCTACCATGTCGATGAGAATTTCCGAGTAAACGACGTTGTATTTGCTGATTATTACCAATGTTTAGTTGTTGAACTACTGGTTCATATGCATAACGTTGTGTACGATAAGCATCACCGAATCGATCATATTCGACTGCTTCGTTTATTTTAACAGCTATTGCTGATGGAACATTTCCATCGATGAGAACATGTTCAATAGGATAATCAATTTCAAAATTGGAAAGATTATTTCTTGACGGATACGGTAACGATCGATATGGTTGATTTTGATGAGTAGTTCTATCAAGACCGTACGACATATTTCTTGCTCGTCGATATTGATTTGTAGGAAAACCCACTAGATTCGAATCCGAATGAATTGGAAATAATTCTCGATGTTTATTCATAAGATCTAGAGTACTATCACGTAATTGTGATTGACGTACGGGATTCGATAATGACGATTGTTCGCCATTCGTAGGAAGAGGAACACTATTTATTGGTGGTTGCGAAACAGGATTTACTGGTGGACGAGGCGGTGGATATTGATTTTCAGATTTATATGATGCGTACTCTTGCTGTGAAGTAGAATTCGTTATAGGACCAGGATTGTTATTTAGTGACGGTCTCGCAATTCCATTGATGTCACTGTTACGCGTTGGAGCAGGTCGAGCACGAGTGGGTACGTCTCTGAAAGATTGTTTCGAACGCGACGATGAAGTTGACGGAGACTCTTCACCATTGTGATCGGATGATGATGATACGTCTATTTGCTGAAAAGAAATCGAAATATGTAAAGATATTTTACGAACATACATTATTTTACTGATGGTTTGGGAATATTTCGCTGTAATGGATTGATGTGTCTGAAATTTTCGGTTTCATCATTGTTATCATCTCGATCTTCGGGCTTGACAAAAGAAATGATGATAATAAAAGAATTAGTCTCAAATTATCTTACTATTTGATACGGTATTGCTGTATTGTAACCTTCTGTTAGCTGATTATTTGAATCCGCAAATGATGTAGATGACTCTTTTCGATTGCTGAATAAAAAACCTTCCTTTCAGAAAAAATAAATTATAAAACTTACCGACGCTTTCTTCGGAATACAGTTTTTACACGTTGCAAAAGTTTACTCATATCTTTTGATGGAATACTACGTACAATTTTGCATTTATTTCATATTGATACTAATAAATGAGAAAAAAAGCGTCGTTTTCGATCATCAAAACAACCGAATATAATGTGTTTCTCACCTTGTTTACATGTAAATCGTTCGTCCGTAGCCAACAGAGTAGAAAAAAATAACTATGCTGTTGGAATGTCGCATAGGTTTTGTTTCTTCGATTATGATGATTCGCTTTGAATATGAGAGGAACTTCACATTATTTTTCCCTCTATAGTTGGTTACAATCGTTTATAACCTCTTACCTGAAACACGTGTGGAATAAATCCAATGAGAATAGCTTAGACGAGTACTTGAAATAGATTTCTATTAATTGTCAACACGAATACATCCTTACTATGATTTTTAGATTAGTGTCTTTCCTCGAATTACTAGAGCGAATATTCAGGCAAATAATCCCGTTTGAAAAATATTTTAGAATAAAATTAATCACAGATATCTTTTAATTCATGTATTTAATTTCTTGCCGTCCACTATTTCTTCATCGTGTAAAACAACAGCTATGGACAATAAAACCGTGTATTCGCACAATAACTGATACTTATATATCTGATGAACAATTTAAAATAGACGACGAAGATTCTACTCAAACGAAATCGTTTGTTCATGATTCATTGATGCAATCTATACAATCTTGTTCATCGTTATCGACATTGTTTCCACTTGTTCGTGCAAATTTACCTCAACATCGCGCACAACACATAGCAGCAGCATTACTTCGCGCCTGTAATATAGTACGTTCATGTGCTTATTTTCATCCAATAAATATGGAACATTATCGTAAAAAGCTCTTAATTCATCCCATATTTGATCTTCTATGTCATTTATGTGAACACCGTCTACTTGAATTAAATTTTGAAGATCACGTTAACATAATGTCATCATTAGTAAAATTAGATATACGTATGACGTCAAGTGAAAGTCCATTTCTACGCCATTTATTTACTGCATTAGCGCAAACTGAATATATTGAAAAATTTGATTTAAATCTATTGAATCGTTTTCTGATTGCGCTAGTGAAAAAATCCAATCGACATTTACGTAAGTATGAATCGTGTTTTCGTTCAAAAAAGTGAACACACGTTAGACCGTTCTGAATGTACAAGAAATTCTATGAAAGATATAAAGAACGATGTTTATTAAGTAAATAGATTTACTATGTTGACCTGAAGACAGGTATAAAAGCATGAACTGATTAGGGTCGAATGTTAACACATGTCGTAATTTCATTAGATTTGAGCGACTGCTAGGTGAGCTAACTCCTTCTACTCTAATCAGAAAGCATTTGAATCTCTTGTGACTCCTTCGCATCGCCACATCCGATTTTTTTCGAAGCGTAACAGCGAGAATCTTCTGTTAGAGATTGTTTATTTTCTATATATCCACATTGAATATTTAGTTCTTCCATTATACAAACCATTGCTTGAACGATTTCGTCAATTGCTATTTGAAATTGGGCCTTCACATACACCATCAACGATTAAATGTACGATTGGCATAATGCATCTCTTAGGTATGGCTATACCATTATCGAGCAATCAAACTGATGATACACAAGCACGTATGCTTCATTGATAATTTATTCGACGAACGTTTTTTTCTCATTCTATAGCAGTTATTGACCGTTGTTTCAAGTATACTTGATGAACATATTGAAAAAATTGCTTCAATGGCAGGTCCAGATACACTTGTTCGTTTATTAACATTAGGTGGAATGTTTCCCGTACAAATGAAAAAATGGATACCACACGCATTCATAAATTGGAATGTGAATTTAAATAGAATATTATGGTTTGATATTTATCTGATATTATCATCAGCTAAAAGGTGTTTGTCTCACGTGACAAAATAGAAATTAAATTAAAATTTATTTTATCTTTTTTTAGACATTTCCGTCCATTGAACGATCTATTTGATCTAGCTGTAACGAGATGCAACAATGAGCTTGATCAAAATAATTTTCTTGTTGACCATGATACTCTCTATATGACATGCGCCTTATATAAATATTCAAGGATAAAATTAAAACTTCGATTAAACAGACGATTACATATGTGTTTAGATAATTTTGATCCACACGAAATTTGTCTTCTATATCAACATGTTAATCCTGATACATGTAATGATTGGGAACTATTAGCACGTATGCATCACAAATTGAAACAGATAAGTTTATCCAATGAAGAATGTAAAGAGTGAAAAAATACATAGAAGAGAAAATTAGACTTTCTTTTTGTTTTTTTCTTGCTTAGATGAAAGTGATTTTTGGCCAATGCTTTCTGTATTAACTGAACATATTAATAAAAACATAGATTATTACACGACAGAAACAGCTGGCGCTGATTTTATAATGCATTTACGTGCTGAAATCGAACGGAAGAAATCACGAGCTAACGAAACATGGTTTATACGTGATCAATATTTACTTATTCTAACATTCTATTTAAAATATGCGTTGAGTGGAACTGCTATTCCAAGAAATATTATGACCAATGCAGATCCGATGATATCTCAAGCGAATTTAAAAGATACGGGAACACTTCTTGCTGGTAAGTTTGAATAATATTAATTTAAAACTTGGATTTTGGATGTCAAACTAGCGCAAAAACCTAAACTTCCCAGCGATCATATTTTTTGAAATATTGATAATTTCTTTCTTTTTCAGGATATTATAATGCAGCATCATCAGGACTACCCGATGCAGCTAACATGACATTTCAACGTCAAATAAAACAAATCCACGAAATGATTGTTCACCATAAAATGGAACATCTATCAAATTTATCAATATATCCATTTAGTCATATAGTCAATTTTTTAAGTTACATAACATCATCACGTTATAGTATTGATACACCATTGTTAGAACCATTTTTCGAACGTTTAAATACATTCGATAGTCAAACATCGTTAACTTTACGTGATGTAAATAATTTATCATTATTATTTTCTCATTCAGCACGTCTTTATCCTTCGCTACTGGATGCCATGTGTTCAACATTAATTGATACACAAACAACATCTCTACGATTAATTGCGACATTTTGTCGTTGTTTATATAAAGTTAATTATAAACCTGAACAAATCAATGATCTATGTTCGTTAGCTCGTCATCTTTATGCCAACGAAGATGAAATACGCCCAATTGATATGCTTTGGCTATCAATGACGAGTACTGGTTTATTAAACCAACTCGATGAAAAATTACTAAACGATATTTTTTCATTATCATTTCTTGGCAATATTGATCAAGCATCATCGAAAAAAAATTCTATCCAACTTGGTCAACCACTATTTCGTTTAAATCAGATTGTATGTATTGATCATCCACAATTAAACATTCCATGGTTTAACGATCGATTTGGATTCGAAGTTGTTCTGCCAGGTAATGCAGTTGATACGCTTAGAGGCAATTATTATTTTGAAAACGTGCTGCAGTCAGTCTTTCGAGAAAATTTAGATTTTTCATATCGATGTCTCCTTGATTTTTATTTGATTGGAAACTAAATGTCGTTAATAGGTTTAGTTAAATATTTTTGGTAGTTTTCTCATCGAAGCGAATCATGTAACCGTAATATATGTTTCAATAAGACTGATACTTTCTTCTTCAATAGATACGCGGCGTCATTGGATGGCTCGAAATACTACATTTGATCATATTGAATCAAATTTAACAACAATGCTTGGTGGCAAACAATATCTTCAAATACACACGTTTTCACCATATTTTCATGAAATTGGTATGAATGTTTAATTTTCAAGCTATAATATTATTCTTGATTGACTATACTCTAGATTTTGAATGTATTCTACGGTTGGATAATCGCCAGCCAGTTCGATGCGATCAATATGATTTTACGAAGAATATAGGTGGAAATAAAGAACTTCATATTCCCGAAGGATGTGAACGGTTAATAATCATCTCTCTCACTCTCTTTATAAATTATATTCATTAACTCATTCAATTCTAGGGTGGCAATTCTAGTAACAACACCAAATCATTACTGTCATAATACGACACATTATGTTGGTTCAGTTGAAGTCTCATTTCGCCATTTGAAAAAACTCGGTTATCAACTTGTTATTGTATGCATTTTAAAACCAATTTTTGAAGAATTATTCATAGGAACTTTTTTTAATGTTTTAGCTTCCTTATTACGAATTAGCAACTATTGAATCGTCTGCAAGTCGTTTTCGTTATTTGCACAACAAATTGTTTAAGAATAATCAATACACAAACTCATATGTTGGAAGCAAAAGCACTTCGGTGAATCCTTTGTGATGGATTAGTGGTTGTTTCATTGTGCCGTTTTCTTTTTTTGGAATAAAACGATTGTTATTCATAAGAACTTTCTTTTTGTATGATCATAAAATTTAAATGTTACCACTATTGACAAATTATCTGCTTTACTTAAACTATTCAATACAGTAATACACGAACTTCTAGTCTATATTAGATGCATGGGACAGAAATTCGATAAATCATTATAATTGAAGCTATCATAAATTAAACAGATTGAAATAAGGCAATAGTGACGTTTTTCGCGGCAATTATAATCACAAGAGCTGAGAGTTTTACCAAGTTCAACACCACCACCTAGTTGACCTCGAAAATAAGAACCACAGACAGCACCTCACCAACTGTCAACACAGTTATCACATGATGTTTCAGCAGCTACTAGTTGTCTATTGTTTCGCATTTATACGTTTGCTGTTTCTACGGTGTGAGGTTTGTACAGGGAAAAGAAATGCATCAACACAAATCCATCATCGAATGCACATTCGCCCATAACTTATTGAGAGTACAATCTTAATAGACCCATACTTGAAGCATATCGATGAGTATTATGTCATTCTTCTCAGCAACACGATATTCATGCAAACCCAAGATATTATAGGATCCAGTAGGATTCATTGACTTGGGGACTTTCCTGGGCTTTCCGACCAGATACGGAGATTTTTCCGCATCTTTCCGGTCGGTTCCTACGGTATCCGTTCTCCTGAATCATTGACCTAGGTATATATAGTAATCACGTTGCATCTATAAACATGATACATTATTCAATATTCAAATATTTCACACGAGTTGACCAATATTTCATGACCTTTCTTCGGAAGAACTTGAAGATATTTATCATTTTCGAAAATTGTTTCAACTTTTCTGATCGAGACAACGTGTAACTATTCTATAAGTTTGCAAGACCTGTAGTCTTATAATCACAACAGATTTTTAACTGAGCGGTTAGTTTTGTTTCATTTATGTGGTGAAGATGGTCGTTTTTAGGCATGCGCCAAACTCAATCTCAAACTCAAACTGTTTGGAAGTTTGGGTTCCGCTATTATAGTCAATTTAAATAAATAACATGATTCTAAGTTCAGATGTATACTAACCATTTTATTAGATTATGAGGCTGATCTATTATTTGTATGACGTGATTATTGATAGAGTTAGTATTCACCTTTGATATTATATATGTCCAAGATACAAAAATATGAGCATGAATCTTACTAATACTTGTCATTACAAGCCTCCTTCATCTATGTAAAAACCTCTCTGGGATGAACTTGTTAAGGAACGTTTCAAAGAAGACTTTGAAAAAAGTGTCTCACAGCGCATGCTGTTTCTAATACGCGTGACAAAAACGATAGTTGTTCAATAATACATGAACCTTAGGAATAAATAAATCAAACTCTGCTGTGTACTAAAAACGACTATGTTTTGCAATACATTATAAACATAATTATTACTGGATATATAGTTAGAATGTTTAGCATAAAGGACCTACTTAATAGATATAAGGTAATAGAAATTTAGTAAAGCAGTAACCTTTTATTCTGACTGATAAGAATTTAACACATTAATTGTAGTAAAATCTTCAAGGCATAGTAATAGACATCGACATTAGTAGAAATAAACCGAAATGCATTGCTCGTTTCTTGTTGAAATATTTGTCGATGATATTTAATTGTTAAAAAAAAAGTATGAAGTCAATTTTTTATCTATAATATGAATTTGAACTATGTATAGAACACATATATTCTTCCATCTTCATACCAAACACTAAGTAGAATCATTTCAGCTTTTTCAAAGTTAAATTATATTGATTATTTTACAAAACCTTTTTTTTAATCAATATATATAAACGTATATAGCGTCTCATTTTCAAAAAAAAAACAAGTGGTCAGGTCAAAAAATTCAGTGACCCAGATCGCAATCCGAATTTCGTCGAGTTTTGTTGAAATCAGACAGAATTTGATGGTTTAACTTTGCCTTGGATGTACGATTATAATGCAAATCATTGTGATTTTAATCAGAATTTATGATGAACTCTATATTCACCTTCGTAATCTTATCCAATATTTCACGTAAAAGAGACAAATGTTAAGACTGAATATTAGAGAGCTAAAGATTAGTGGGAATTTAAGGCAAAACTTTCTACATGCCTCTCTATCTCGATTACTAAAGAATTTGATAATTATAACTTAATCACAGTTGGTTTAATAATATAAGCACACCATATTTTAGGACCACACGGTTTAACACCAATCATAGTCATAAAAATAAGCTGAGAAACGAAGAAGATTTAGTTTAATTTTAAATATTTTAATACAATCATGAATTCTAAGAGCTCGAATGGTTTCTCTCTATATCCTATATGACGTTGATATTGATACTGTATTGGATTAAAGGTTTAATGACGGCAAAACTGCTAGAAACTAATCACTTGATGTAAAAAAGAAAATCAGATGTTTGTGTTCTTCTATTCGTTTGTCTCTCTTTTCCTCAGTATCGAAAGATACATTTTTCGAGTCTCGTTTCTTATTTCTTTATCTGAACATAACAAATTTTAGACTAAATTAATTTGACTACTTTTGAGATCATTTTTTCTGAATCAGACAAAAATTTATTTTTGAATGTCATCAAACACTTCTGAAGTTAGAAGAAATAGGCTATTGTAAAACAGACGGATCCAATTTTGGTAGTATCAGGTTTTCCAAATAATTTTCGCCAATTGTCGGCTCGTAAATCCAAGAATATTTTGGGAAGAGCGTAGCATCAACCTCGTATTACTATTACTTATGGCTCGTTGTTATCTTTCAGCTTCTTCAATTACTGCACTCAATGAGACAAAATAATGATCATATTGATCAAGTGATACTAATAAAATATGGTTTATTTTTCGTGATGATACTTTATTTCATATTGA